TTTTTGGTTTTTTTTTTTTGTGAGCAAGATTAGCTCTGAGCTAACATCCAATGCCAATCCTCCTCTTTTTGCTGAGGAAGATTGGCCCTGGGCTAACATCCGTGCCCATCTTCCTCTGCTTTATATGGGACGGTGCCACAACATGGCTTGACAAGCGGTGCATTGGTGCACGCCCAGGATCCGAACCTGTGAACCCCGGGCTGCTGCAGCCGAGCGTTCGCACTTAACTGCTGCACCACCAGGCTGGCCTCCTGCCTCCGCATCCATTTTATGTGGCCAAGCAGCCTGCAGGGACTTTAAGCTGACACTAGCCCCTCGTGCAAGCGCATGCTCTGGATAGCAACCCCCAGGGTCACAAGCAAATGTTAAGTACCCGATATGACTTCCCCAACAGCCCTGGTGATCAACAGTTTCCCCCGCCTCCTATGGCCTTCCCCCCGTGTGCCCCTTAGATTAGACCCCTGTGGAGCTTACCAGAACCCCACTCTTTTAGTTTGAGTTGAGCAATCTGGCATTAGCTCAGGAACCCCACAGCACTCCACCCATGGACCCTAATAAAGGCACGTGCCCCTGGTCCTGTCTCTCTCTATCTGCGCTCTGCCTTGACATCCCCGTGTGGCCTCTTGAGGGATGCAGGTACTTCCTCCAGGACCTGCAAGTACTAGACTCGTCTGTTTCCATTTCTCCTGTGGTCTGTTACTGAACCATGGCTCACCATCCAGCACCCTGTGCTCCACTTAACAAATATTAATTTAACAACGTTATACCACCTACAAAAGAGTTTGATAAACACACCTTAGTAGGAGAGCCAATAATTGTTGGTAGAGGAGTTTTAAAGAACCAGTCAGAACTCCGAGGAGAGGACCCCAAGTGCTTGGTGGGAGAGGTCCCAAGGCTGCCAGGCCGACTGGGCTGAGGCGAGCAGCTGTAGCCAGCCCCGGGGTGGGACGGGCACACGGGGTCCGAGTGCTGCTTTCTGAGCTTCTGCTTGTTCTGGTAGATGTCGGTGAGAGCGGGGGCGCTCTGCAGTCTAGCCCCCAGTAAGAGAGGCTGTGGTGACTGAGCCTGCGGCACTGGAGAACCTACCAAGAACATGGATGCCGTGTCAACCCAGAGTGAAGAAGAACAGTGCAAAAATCTAAGAATCAGACAGACGATTCTTAAAATGAGAATTCTAATGAACATTTTGCTTTTCATGAGATATTCTCAAAGTTGTTTACTTGGCAAGAGACTATTTTTTGGCATCCTTTACAAAACAGTGACAAGTTCATTGTCCTTGGTATTCCCAGGAGACAGAAGCTGATGATGGGTATACTATCTGTTTTTATCAGCAGCTAGCAAATAACTCAGATGAATGCAGGGTCTAATTGGCACCAAAGAGAACTATGTAGCAAACGGTTCAAGTTAATAAAAACAATAAAAACCTGCATTGAACAAGACGATTTCCACTGTTTCTATGAATACATACTTGGGTGTATCAATGTAATTATTCTCTTTTCTCACATAGCAACTAAAAGAACTTTTCAAACTAACCCAGAATAACCCCTATTCAATATATATATATATAATGTAGGAAAGAAAATTAGAAAGATAATATACCTTTCCTGGATTTTATTTTATATAAAATACCAAGCATTTGAATAATTTATTTATTTTTGTCAGTTTCATTAATGAAATTCATTTAAAACCTGAAGTATCCACATTCTCTACATAGAAAACACTTGTCCACAGATATTCTTGCCTCCTAAGGAGACACTATATCAAGAGCCTGGGAGATAGGGTCTTGATACAGTGAACAGTTGGCAACCGCAAGGGAAGTCCCCCACACAAACCTTGTTGTTGCCAACTTAAGGTCTACTAAGCCCTGAGCTCCAGTTACAAATTCTTTGGAGCTTCTTGCAAGCCAAGTAACCACCAATAATGTTAAGAACATACAAATCTTCTTAGTGACCTATAACCATCATCTTTCCGAAAACAGGCACCAATAGGAGCTTTTGCTATCAACCACTCCTGGCTTAATCTCATCCTAAATCTGGTACTTAAGTTTTCAGAACTGGGTTCTGCCATACATACACACACACACACACACACACACACACACACACGCATACAAATAAATGAAATTAGGGACAAAATGTTATGATCTGGAGAAAGTTATCTAAGCTTTATTTTAAGAAAACACAAAATATGAGAAACTAAACTTAGGAAAGAGAGCTTTCTTTTTTTTTTTTTTTTTTTTTTGTGAAGATGATTAGCCCCAAGCTAACATCTGTTGCCAATCCTCCTCTTTTTTGCTGAGGAAGACTGGCCCTAGGCTAACTTCCATGCCCATCTTCCTCTACTTTATTTTTTTTTTTTTTAAAGATTTTATTTATTCAGTTTTTTCCCCCCAAAGCCCCAGTAGATAGTTGTATGTCATAGGTTCACATCCTTCTAGTTGCTGTACGTGGGACTCGGCCTCACGTTGGACGGAGAAGTGGTGCCTCGGGGCGCTCCCGGGATCCGAACCCGGGCCGCCAGCATCAGAGCGCGCACACTTAACCGCTAAGCCACGGAGCCGGCCCATCTTCCTCTACTTTAAATGGGATGCTGCCACAGCATGGCTTGATAAGCGGTGTGTAGGTCCACGCCCGGGATCTGAACCTGCGAACCCTGGGCCACTGAAGCAGAGCGCACACACTTAACCACTATGCCACTGGGCCGGCCCCAAGAGTGCTTTTTTTAAGTAACACAGGATTCCTTTAACTAGCCAACTCCTCAAAAGCACATACAATAAAATTTGACTTATAAACATAGGATTTACACATATCTTACACATATCTACACATAATAGAGCAAATAAATATCTATATTTCTTTTTTACCTGATGCTAACTGGTAGCTCTTATCAAGAATAGTATTAAAGTAATGAAATTTCATTTTCTAGATTGATTTTCACTATCTGTGTGACAATTACTGAAATTTAGCTAACTAACTTAATTCCTAAGACTTACTTTCATAAAAGAATCATATATCCACAGGAAAATATTTGATTGGCTATATGATATGCTAAAATATATTAGACCAAGATTCTCAAAAACAGGATAGCAGAGAAAATATTTCATATCATTCTGTTCTTTTGATAAAAGTCTAGAAAAACATAACTCAAATCCACTTATAAGAGGATTAAAATTATTAATATACCGAATGCATCTCTTACCTGATGAGTTTCTACTTCTGGATTCATGGCCCTGAGGATGTCCACAGCAACACTGACAAAATTGCTCAGGAATGGTACCAACTATGAAAAGGGAAATGGGGAAAAGAAGGAGAAATGATTCAAAACTAACACAAGATGGAAACAGGCAACACATGCACAAACTGCACAGTACATTACAGTTTACAAATTTTAATTAGCAAAGATTTAGTTCAGCTAACACTTACTGAGCAATCAATGTGCTGGGTACACTAAGATCAAAAGTACATATAACCTGCCTTCAAACAAGATCACTAGGAAAGAAAGCCGTGTAAACCAATCAATGCCTGTATCAGGTGTGTCTTGAAGACCGAGAAGTACAAAGAGTTTGCACAACGTGTCTGGGGCTTGCGGAGCTGTAGGAGGCACAGCTGACTGACAGCCCTGCTACTGCCCCTCAGGATCCACAGGCTCCTGCCAAGGCTGCTCCCAGCCAGTGACTGCACGTGGACGAGGCACTAATTCAGGCCAGTTCCAGCAGGTCAGGGAATTTGGGCAACAGTGCTTGGGAACACTCCTCCAGCCTAGCTAAAACCTTCTTAGAACTCACTCTAGTCAAGACTCCTCCTGCCTACTCCTCCTTCCTTCCCTCTCCCCACAGGGGTCAGACCTGCATGGTGGTCTGAAGCGGCTTCCTGGGCACTCCTGCTTCCTCCTCTTTATTCATCACAGGTGTTTCCCCAATCACTCTCGTGCACATCTCTGCACCTACCTTCTTCGCATCTACCTCTGAGAACCCAAACTAACAAGAGGGAGAGTTGGGGAAGGCTTCAGGGAGTTTAAGCAGACAGCAGACATGTCTATAAAAAAGAAGAGGCACTGACCAAGTGGTTGGGCAGGCAGGCAAAGATTAGATCCTGAGGAAGGGCCTCTTCTTGAGTGCAAGGATAAGGTGTGGACATCCCTGGAGCCCAGGGAGTGCCTCAGGGGCTGCTGCGGGGGTGAGGGAGGGCCAAGATTTTGTTTGAAGAAGTTTGTTTAGGTAAAAACAGCTTCAAAACCATTGCAATAGGTGAGGTAGTAATATAAACTTTTCTTTTTTAAACATTATTATTGTGGGGGTTTTTCTTTTTTTTTTCTATCAAGGCTCCTACTTCAATCCTTCTCCCTCTGTGTCCTCCTGAGATTTCTTCCCATTCCCTTTCAATCCTACTCCAGCAGTTTTGACTGAGGGTAGGGGTCCTCTCCTTTGGAAGTAAATATATATATACACACATATATATATAATTTTTTTTTTTTTTAATTTTGAGATCTGCCACCAATGGGCCTTCTCTGCCCCACCTGTTCTTCACCAGCACACCACGCTGTTTCTCACAGATTCTGCCATCTCAGTCGCTTTGGCCTTTCTTACATGTATTCTGAAACTGGAGCATTTTCTTTGTCTCTTAGTTTCACCAAACATGTGGTTTTAGGTTTGTTTTCATTTGGTTGGGTTTTTGTTGTTGCTCTGGTTTTACTGTTTGCTTTTGTTTGTTTGTTTTAGCATTCTCCCTGTTGCTGTATATGGTTTTCAGGTGAGGTGGGAACATCTGTAATGAAGCTGCCACCATATTCCTCCCGGACCCGAAAGGCCTCGGGTGAATGAAACCAGTACTGTTATGTACACTACTGTCTTTTAATCCTCATAAATCTGAATGGTAAGTAGGGTAGGCATTTTATGTACTTTAACCTAGGGCTTCTGCTTTGTGTTTAAAGTCCAAACCCAATGGAGATAAAATCCATTTATTCTATAAATAAAATCCATTTATATTACTCTATTTCCATTAGAGGTCCCAACAGATTTATACAGAGATTCTTAAGAGGGAGCTGGGAGTGGGGTAGAGTTGGAGGGGTGGGATACGGCTCCCAGTCAGCTGAGACTCATTGCCATCATGAGTCAGTGTTCCTAAAGGAAGAGTCATGTCAGATTTGTCATAGTAAAAAAACAACAGCTTTAAACTCTTCTTACCCAAAGGGGAAGGTGAATAAGGCCTGGAAGACCCAGTCGAGAGTCTTCGTCCAACTGTCTGTACTGTGTCTGCTGGTGCCGGGGAGCAGGATCCCAGCCGGAGGAAGCCCATAGGGCTGGTGTTAGACCTTCGTACCGCTGCAGATCTGAAAAGAAAAAGAAAATGACTCCCTCTCTGGCAGGTTCTAGAACTCTCTGTTTATTTCTGTCTTTTTTTTTTTAAACTTCCTAATAATATGCCACGAAGCAGATTTTTTAAAAATATGTAACATAGTCACATGGAATAAAATATGTATAAAATTATATAGAGTGAAGTCTCCCTTCCCATCCTTGTATCCTATCTGCCTAATTCCCAACAGTGCTTCAATCCTACTCAAAAGGTTACCACTATTTTTAGTTTCTAATGTATCCTTCCAGAGTTCCTTAATTCATACACACCAAACAATTTGAATATATAATCTTATTTTCATCTTGTTTTAACAAAGATAATATATACCATACCAACCACTTTCAATTTTTTTGGTCTCAGGTCCTCTTTATACTCTTAAAATTACTGAAGATCCCAGAGTTTTTGTTTATGCAACTTATATCTATTGATATTTAGTGTATTAGAAGTTAAAACTGAGAAATTTTTCTAATTGTTAACTCATTAACAAAAATAAACTTGGGCCGGCCCAGTGATGTAGTGGTTAAGTGCGCGTGCTCCACTGCAGCAGCCCAGGGTTCACAGGTTCGGTTCCTGGGCGCGCACCACCTGTCAAGCCATGTTGTGGCGGCATCTCATATAAAGTAGAGGAAGATGGGCACGGATGTTAACCCAGGGCCAATCTTCCTCGGCAAAAAGAGGAGGATTGGCATTGGATGTTAGCTCACTGCTGATCTTCCTCACAAAAAAATAATAATAATAATAAACTTATTAATAGTAACGTAAGTTTATGAAAAATAATTATATCTTCCCAAACAAAATAAATTAGTGACAAGTGTGACATTATTTCACATTTTTGCAAATCTCTAATGTCTGGCTCAATAGATGACAGACAGAGTCTCCTAAGTGTCTCCACATTCAATCTATTACACAATATGTTATTCTGGGTGAAGTCTATGAAGAAAATCCAGCCTTAAACAGACATGAAACTGGAAAAAGGAGGAGTATTTTGGTAGCCTTTTCAGATAACTGTGATACTCTTCTTTGATACGACACCAAAACTCAACAAATAGCCATTTCTAAAAGATTAGTTGCAATGTGAAATCTGAAACCATGTCAATGAAATTTTGCACTGTGTAACCTCCAGAACTTTACATTAAACTCCATTCTTTTACAGAGTATCTTGCACTTGGAATGGATCTTTCATCAATGCGTGATTTTTTAACATTTGGCCATTTGGACAATATTTGTTGACTGAGTTATGCAGATATTCCAAATGTTGACACATTTTACAATATCAATTTACAGGGGTCAGCCTGGTGGCATAGCAGTTAAGTTCGCGCACTCTGCTTTGGCGGCCCAGGGTTCACTGGTTCAGATCCTAGGCACAGACCAACGCACCACTTGTCAAGTCATGCTGTGGTGGTGTCCCATACAAAGCAGAGGAAGATGGGCACGGATGTTAGCCCAGGGCCAGTCTCCCTCAGCAAAAAGAGGAAGATTGGCTATGGATGTTAGCTCAGGGCTGATCTTCCTCACAAAAAAAAAGTCACATTCATATCAAAATGTCACCACCAATTTTAACAGAAATGGCTGTCAAGACATAATAGAAATGGCTGTCAAGATGTAACAGAAGCTGTCAAGATCACAGTGGTGAATACAAGTTTTCCAAAATTCTAATTTTTGCTCAAGAGCTCAAATTTTATGTCACTAGTTTTCTATGAAGTGACAGACTGACTTAGTTCATTTTCAACAAAATGGCTGACAAATACCCATAACCATAGTTTGTCAGGTGTTCTTTTAAGTAAAAATGGTGTTCCACGGAAAAAGTGGCTAGTTTAGCTTGCAATAAAACAATCATACAAGTGCTTTTCCTTAAGACAACTATTCCAATATGCAGCAAAAGTGCTTTACGCCTACATTCCACTCAAGGTCAAGATTTCCAACAAGAAATAATAATTTTTGCTGCTTCATTAAAGACAGTCCTTGGCACTGCAAGTGTGTGGTGGTGAAGAACACAAAGACTAACAGTACAGCTGGGGGCCATTCCCTTGATGCATTCTAAGGCACCAGCAGTTTTCCCATCACTGCTTTTGCACTATCAGTGCATATGTCAACGTAGTGAGAAAAGCCAACAGTGTCCTAGTATCATTAGGAAAACAGTTTTGACCTCGTGGACCCTCTGAAAGGGAGCCACAGACCACACTTTGAGAACCACTGCTAATACACTGTTAAGCACTTTGATTTTTTAATTTTATAATATACCTTGGAAATTTTCCTACCTCAGTACATAGAGAGCTTCTTTACTCTTTTCGAAGGTGTTCCATTGTCACAGACAGACCATCAATACATCAGTCCCTTACTGGTGGGCACTTGGCTAATTTCTCATCCTTTGCTATTATAACAATTAATAACTTTGTATGTATGCAATTTCATACAAAGGAAAGGGCTGTATATCTGTAGAATAAGTTACCAGAAGTTGAAATGCTAGGTCAAAAGATATATGTATTAATAATTTTCACAGATATTGCCAAAATGCCCTTCGTAGAAGTTTTCTCAATTTATATCCTACAAGATGGTGAGGATCTTTTTCTATTCATTCAGCTGTTCACTTGGTGGGTCCTATAATCTAAAATCTTATATCCTCCAATTCTGGAAAATTCTTGATTATTTCCTAGAAATTTTCTTCCATATCATTTTACTTGTTCTTTCTGGAATGCCTATATTAATTAATCCTTGAAGAATATTTTTTATTCGTATTTTCCATCATCTTCATTTGACTCCCCTATTTCAGACACTTCCTCAACTTTGTCTTCCAACATTTATTTTTATTTATTTCAGTTACTATATTTTGTAATGTCCAAGACGCCTTTTTTATTTTAATTGTTTTCAATAGCATTCTGTTCTTATGTATGGATGCAGTCTCTAACCTATCTCTAAGGGTACTAATTTTTTTGTGTGTGTGAGGAAGATCAGCCTTGAGCTAACATCTGTTGCCAATCCTCCTCTTTTTGCTGAGGAAGATTGGCTCCGGGCTAACATCCATGCCCATCTTCCTCCACCTTACATGTGACACCGCCACACCATGGCCTGACAAGCAGTTCTCCGGTCTGCGCCTGGGATCCGAACCTGTGAACCCCGGGGCGCCAAAGCGGAGCATGCGAACTTAACCACTATGCCAATGGGCCGGCCCTAAGGGTACTAATTTTTTAAATAAGTTTTCTTTTCTTTGGATTCATGCTGTCCCCTCCAGATTCAGTCTTTCTGTTTTTAGCCTTATGTTTCCATCCTTCCACTCCACCCGAGTTCTCTGCGATTTAGGTCTCTGAGGGTACAGTCACCCTCATCTCATCAGAATCTCTGACTGCACGCACTTTTACACCTGCTCTGCTAGAGCAGGCATCACTCTTCCATTCTCTTTGTTTTCTAGACATTTATTGAAATCTCTCACCCACCGAACATTTATTCTTATTTTATTTGCCTTTGTGGACTTATACCTTTTCATTCCTTTACTACCTTAGTGGGGTTTCAGGATGTGGGAGAAATAAATAATATGTAAACAATCTGCTGCAACTGGTGGGATTTCACTTTTTAACTAGTCCTTCCTCAATTCTTAAAAATAATTACATTTGTGGACAAATATATACATATCATACTATATTATCCAGCCAAGCTTAAATATCACTTAAATAGATGCATTACAAATTTTTTTATTATTCAGTTTCGTACACCTCTATTATACACATACGTAAGAGACTAAGGTGGCCATGGAAAGCAACAGATCTTTCAATAACAAGAACATTTTTAAAAGAAAAGAAAAAGAGGGGCCAGCCCGGTGGCGCAAGTGGTTAAGTGCGCACACGTCACTGTGGTGGCCCAGGGCTCACCGGTTCGGAACCCCGGCACGCACCGACGCACCACCTGTCAAGCCATGCTGTGGCGGCGTCCCATTATAAAGTGGAGGAAGATGGGCATGGATGTTAGCCCAGGGCCGGTCTTCCTCAACAAAAAGAGGAGGATTTGCAGATGTTACCTCAGGGCAGATCTTCCTCACCAAAAAAAAACAGAAAAGAAAAAGAATTAAGAAAAAAATACCAGCTTACCTTGGAGAACCATGCGGATTTGTGCCAGAGGCAGCAGTAGATGTCAGATTCTGCTCTATGCGCTGATAATTCCTTATCTGAGTAGGAACTGGAATTGGTGCTGTTTCACTGTGAGGCGACACAGCAGGCTGACACTGCCTGCAACCATATTTTATTGAAAAAGGAAAGAAATCCAAGTAAGACCATTTTTCTTTCATTTGACTCGTTGGTAATATTTAGAGAAAAATCTAGAAAACACCAAATGATCACTTCTGTATGTGAATAAGAAATGATCATCTTAAAATATATATATAAAGCCAAAAAATCACACTTGTCATTTAAAGAACTCTCCTGACATTCATATGCATATTGAGGACTAAGAAGTCTAACAAGAAACTAGAAAAACATTCCTCTACAAAAATAGGTCGGCAAAACTCAGTTTCCGCTGACATTCTGCTATTCATTACTATGTGAGAGAAAAAAATATTTCTAGGAAAATATGCTGGGTAAAAGAACAGGAAGCTCAAGAGCAAAGACAACTGGAATGTTTACAAAAGTTAAGAATGCAGTAAACGTTCCCAAGGAACTCTGACTTTTATGAAGACTGAGAATACACTGCACAACTCACAAAGCATATAACTGATCTGAGGTCCACATTTTCAAGTGTTAGTATTTGGTTTCTTTAATAGCCTCTTTCCTTGCTTTTCATAATTTCAGAAATAGTGTATCCTAGGATGACTTTAATTCAACTTACAACATATCTTGAAACATCAGGGACATTACTGGCCTTAAGAAAGATGACTTATTTCATTCTTCTGCCCTCCTATAATTCTAAAAAAGCCACACAAATCTCCCACTCTTTCCCAATTAGAACATTACAGATATAAAGAGATCATATATTTACTTATCCAAACTAAAGTGTCATTTTAGAACTTTTTGAACTATTAGAGTATTTCATGTGTAAATAAAAAGAGAATCTTCTCTGTAACAGAGATGTTAGTTGCTTTCCCAATATCCATTCACCCACTGTTTCTTACTAACAAAACTCAAATTTTATGGAAGGTAGTGATTTTCCCAGTTAAATTATGACATATCCCAGACTCCCTAGCAGCCATGAGTAGTCATATGTGTGTCTTGGTCAGTGAGACGTAAGTGGAAGTCTTTTATCCATTCATCTTTCTTCCTCCCACCCGGAATGTAGGTATGCCTGCTGGAGCTTCAGCAGCTACCTTGGAACCACGAAGAAAAGGCCAAAAGAATTGGAGACACTTAATTTCCTTGAGCCACAGAAACGAAAGCAACAACTATTTATCTTGACTTCTCTTCATGCAAGAAAACTAAATCTTAGTGTTCAACTACACTATGTTCAGCCCCCCTGTTGTTTGTAGCCAAGTGGAATTCCTAATTGATACACCATTTAGTGTGCTTCTATGCTCTATTTTTCATTTAGGTAATTCCATTAAGTATCCTTTAAATACAATGATTTATGTTTTTCATATCTACACATCTGATTGTGAAATTTATCTACAACCTGAAAACAAAACAAAACACTTCTACTACCGGAAACTAAACAGCTCTACAAGACTTCACTAAACAAGACTTCTCTAACACAGGCCTGACAGCCTAAGTTCCTCAAAAACAGAACAACCAGCACAGCCATCAAGTATGAGAATATGAATGAACAAATGCTGTCTTTCTACTGTCTCAATTTAACGGGTAAATAAAGAGTTGGTGAAGTAAGTACCTCTGGGAATTTTTTTTTTTATCTTATACATTGTCAAGTTCTAATATTTTTCCTGTACTTGTTAATCAACAAAGGGAAATAAAGACGCTGGATAAAGATAACCTAAGAAGTAAACTTAGCAACCTCATAATCCAAAGCGCCTCTCTCAAGGAATCCTAAGCATCCACCTGGCTTCTCTAACGACTCTGGTTCCCCCACCGCCCAGCATATCAGGAGATGAACAGCCAGGGCAGGTGTTCTGTAAATACTGTCTCAGATGGTCTCTGGACAGCACCTTCAAGCAGGCTTGCTGAGTCTACAAAGTCTTCTCTGGACAAATTCCCAGAGCTCCAGCTAGCTAGGACCACTGCAGCCACTTTTCTGCACCAATATTTAACCACCATCTGACTCCCTAAGCCCAAGGTGAGGAAAGGGAAGGTCTACGCATGCCCTGAGTCTCCAGCATGTCCTCCTCACCTCCACTAGGTCCTGTAGTTCAGAGGATTCTCTACGTGGAAAGTCATCTTCACCCTGCATGGAAGACTAAGCAGTCTGCCCACACAGTAACACAATCATATGTCATTCTATCTACCCCCACAAATGCTGAGAGGAAGACACAAATGCAAAAGGACAGATGAAGGACTAGAAGACTACAGGCCTACAGCTGCAGACGGAAAGCAGGCGACAGGTCCAGCAAGAAAGTGGTTAGTGTCTGTGGAGAGGCCATCACAGACATAGGAATCCACTCAGAGAAGACACACCCTAATACACCACAGGCTGTGCACACAGTTGGCCTACATCAATGGCTGGTAACAACTCATCTTCTAAATTCTGATATCCTAAAACTAAAACAAAAAAAACAAACAAAGAATAAGAAGAAAAAACATAAGTAGATAAAAATAACAAGAAAAAAATAAAACAAAAAAATTTTTAAACATTAAAAAAACCTTTCCTATCCTAACTCCTATGGCTGTGCCTATTTTTTGTCTGGATGCACAAAATGCATCCATTTTGTGGAATGGATATCACACTCCCTGCAAGTACTGAAGACCGTCATATGGGTAGTGAAGGAATTATCACTAAGAGCTTCTTTAGGTGAAAATGCACTTATTGGTGAAGGAAAGAAAAGGTAAAGAATTACACCAAAGGAAGAGAAGCTGAGAAAAGAGCCAAAGACAACTCAAGAAGAAAACATGGCAGCAAATCAAAAGACGTGGAAATGTGGAAATATACAATTCCCATATTTAAAACACATCCTGAGAGAAAGGCAGCAAAACAAGTCTGTAAAAAATTTGCTTATCCCCAGGGTTCCTAAACTGTGCATCAAGGGACTCCAGGCTGCCACTACTGCTCAAAGGGGTGCCCTGGGGTACATTAGGAGGAGAAGGGATAGCTTTTTTTTTTTTGCTGGGAAAGATTCACCCTGAGCTAACATCTGTTGCCAATCTTCCTCTTTTACCTTTTTCCCTCCCTCTGAGCCCCAGTACATAGTTGTATATTCTAGTTGTAAGTCCTTCTAGTTCTTGTATGTGAGCTGCTGCCACAGCATGGCTACTGACAGACGGGTGGTATGGTTCCACGCCTGGGAACTAAACCTGGGACACCAAAGCAGAGTGCGCTGAACTTTAACCACTAAGCCATCGAGACTGGTCCTACAATAAATTTTTTAAGTCAACATACAGACACTTTGAAAACTCCTACTACCAATGTAAACTAAAATTGCTATTAAGTTGTTCGGGAAGAACTACTTAACAAACGGAACTGTTAGGTATTTCTATTAGTGTAGAGGCATCACTAAAAATTACTGAGACACTAAGAGAACTTCTAGCTTTACATATTTTACTGATAAACTACCACATAGTTCCAAAATTCCTGGTCCCAAATATGCATTTTTTTCCCATAGCATTTTATTTTGTCTTTCCTATTAAAAATTCCTTCAAAGTGCTAAAATGCACCAACACTATTAAGAAGCATTTCAGCAAGCAATTCAACAAGATTTCATGAGTACCTGGCAAACTTGCATGAGTAACCTAGTAGGCATGTATTATCCAGCTGGCATTCAATGAAAGGTCAGTAAACTAGTCAATAATGTCAAGAAGAAGTATGATTTTCTAAACCTGTTTTAGAGACAGATGAAATGAAAACCTCAAGAGAGATGGTACTAACTTGGTTGGGCATTTCACTACTAACGTAGCTAAGAAAAATAGAAGATCCATTTAAGTGTGGCTCACGATAGTGTCTAATTATCTTTTACACCACACTGTAAATTCATTCTTACACTCTTAACCTAAGCATTGCTTTCCTGAAATGGCAGGCTAAATTTGTGCCCAGAAATGCCAAAGTACTGCACGCCAAAAACCTGAGCTCCTAAGATGATAAGAGGCTGTCATTAACAACGAACAACATGTACATACATTTCCCTCAATATCTGTGCCCCAATAGATGCTAGAAAGCAAAATTCTGTATCCTGAGGTTTATTTTCCTAACATATTATTATAAGACTAGGATTAGTTTCCCAGGAAAATTTCTGATCCTTAGAAAAAAATTACTCATTTCACTACAATAAAACATTTCAAAGTAATTTCAGTAAAACTAAGGTTCTAAGGAAAGAATTAAATATACCATGACTAAAATTACTTAAACCAATATATGAAATGATAGCTATCGGGAGATGGAGATACAAAATCTTAATGAGAGAGACTGTCACAGTGCAGCCCCAGTGAAAAGCTACTACACTGCAACGCTGTTACAACAGCCCTCCCAACTTCCTCTTCCCCTCTACAGAGTTTCTCCCTGCTTGCTGCTGGCGAACTTGCATGTGGCTCACCATGGTTGCAGATTCCAAACTGCAATTCTTTGCTGAGCCCAAGAAAAACCACTTTTGCTGAAGAAAGAACTAGCTGTCTATTCGTTTAAGGTCAATAGCATAATTTTTTATATTCTTTTTATATTTCTGTTTTCACTACACTGAATATCTCGTGGTAGAGTGTATTTTTTTTTTTCCAAAATATTCAGGACTTCTCCCTAGACCCATTTCTACACTCCCTGGTGTACTCCCAGCCACAATCCCTGGGAAGCAGGTTGAAAGAACAGCTCCCATTTGGGACACACTGTTCTCAAAGTAGAACAGACTGATAACAGAACAGAAGTTTCCAGGGCTATTATGTAGTTCTCCACTCATTTTCCCTCCTTTGAGATCAGCATGTCCCAAATTCTTGTATAGAATCTAAGAGACAAAAGTACCAAAAAACCCCTATAAATCTATGTTAATGGGTACACAATAGATCAAGATGCAATTTGTGACATCAGTAACATAAAGCAGGGTAGGGGGGTCTGTATACTCCCTATACTCTCTACAGGAGTAGAGTTTTGTATGCAGTTTATCAGTTTAAAATAGATTGTTATAACTCGAAGATATTTTATGGAATCACAATGG